TGCATACATGCTCAACCAGTCACTAAAAAGTAAAATTTGACCCCATCAAGCAGAGGCTCATAATGATCTCAGCAGGTTTATTGGCCTGATCGATAGCACATGGCTCCTCTGCAGGAGCTGAAAACGTCTAAGTCATCCTCACATTAAAACAAGTGTGGGGGAAAGGCATTTCCACAGTGAATTGTTCAATCTGTTTAAATTAGTTTTTTTCTCCCCTCCCTCCCCCCCCAAACTATCGACTAATGGGCTGAAACATTTCTAAATGTGTCTGTTTTTGAAGACAATGCCATTTTTCTTGGGAAAGAAAATCGTTAAGTGACAAGTGAGCAACGAGCCTGTCCTTGTCAGTGTGCTTCTCAGCTGGGGAAACAGGTGTGGAAAAGGTTTAAATTAAGTGCTTCTCCGCACTGTGAGTCAAAATGTAAATGGTTCGCCTTCAGATGGTTTTGTTTTCCTCTTAGGGTTTTGCTCATTTTTGCTATCAAGTCCAGTCGTGCAGTATATAAGTGCAAAGTTCATAATGCATCGATTTCCTTGGTTGTAAAGCCTGTAATTTCATCACCATTTCCTGTACACCTCAGGATTTCCAATGGCTCCTATGATGAAGCCAGCCCTAGGCAGCCACCCCTCATTTCAACCCATTGGCCCATGTGCAGAGTCCCTCTGTGCTGAAAGCCATGTGCCATTTCATTGCCTCTGTATCATCATCCCAAACCCTGGGGAAAGGTTGTGCTGGGGCTTTGTCAGCACAGCAATTCACTGTTGTTGCTATTAGCTTTGTCCTTCCAGCCCCAGGTGGCTGTAAACCCTGCACTGTGTACAAAGGACATGTCACACCCCTCCCATCTCCTGTTTTTATACTCATTTTCAGATGTTATTAGGACAGGTTTCTTCTGAAAAAGAGCAGTGATGCGCTGGCACAGCTGCCCAGCAAGTGGTGGTGTCACCAACCCTGGAGGTGCTCCAGATCAATGGGGATGTGGCACTGAGGGATGTGGAGATGGGCATGGTGGAGAGACTTGGGGATCTTAGTGGTCTTTTCCAACCTGATTCATTCTATGATTCTGATTATATAAAGTGCTTAAATACACCAGCTCAGGGAGGAAGCCAAATCCTGCTCTGTCTTGTGTTGAAGGCAAAGGTAGAGACCAGACCAAATCTTTCTCACCTAGGGAAAATGACTGTTCTTGTCATGGAAAATACAAAGCAGGTCATATCTATCACCTTCCTGTATTAAGAAACCAATGGCAATCTAACATAAATCAGGCAATATTTACCAGGGTAAGTGGAGTACTTAGTGGTGTTTGATGCTCTCTATAACTTCCTGAAGGGAGCTTGTAGTGAGCTGGGGGTCGGCCTCTTCTCTCGTGTCATTAGTGATAGGACCAGAGGGAATGGTTTCAAGCTATGGCAGGGGAGATTCAGGCTGGACATGAGGAAGTATTACTTTTCAGAAAGGGTGGTCAGGCACTGGAATGGATGCCCAGGGAGGTGGTGGAGTCACCGAGCCTGGGGGTGTTCAAGGAAAGACTGGATGTTGTGTTGAGGGACATGGTTTAGTGGGAGCTATTGGGAATAGGTGAACGGTTGGACTGGATGATCTTTTAGGTCTTTTCCAACCTTGGCGATTCTATGATGATTCTATGATTCTATGCCATATTTATTGGTGCTGGGTGATTTATTTTTTCCCAGATTTGCGGTGATATTATCACACTTGGAAGAATAGGAACGATAAAGGGGAGTTGGACTGACTGACCTTTAAAAGCCCCTTCCAACTCTAAGGATTCTATGATTCTAATATTGGAAAGCGCTAAATTTTCAACAATTGTGGAACTGGTGGGCGGGAATCTAGCTTTTATTTTTAAAAGCACAACTGAAGTTTAAAGCAGAAAGGGAGGGGGTATCCTTCACGGCCCATGCTCCCTTTTAGCAGGTGCCTTGTTGTATTGATAACACTCAAGATTGGCATCAAGTTGTACCAGGGTAAGTTTAGGTTGGATATCAGGAAAATCTTCTCTACAGAAATGGTTGTTGAGCACTGGAATAGGCTCTCCAAGGAGGTGAGCGAGTCACCATCCCTGATTGTGTTTAAAAACCATCTTGATGTGGTGCTCAGGGACGTGATTTAGCAGAGGGTTGTTCAAGTTGAGGTAGTAGGGTAAGGTTGCAGTTGGACTTGATGATCTTTAGGGCCTTTTCCTAAATTCTATGATTATCAAAAAACAAGTTTCTGAAGTGATGAAAAGCTGGTGCTGATGCTTGGTTGTGGTCCTACATATCCTCTGAGCCCAGGTTTGCTGTTGTTCTGCTCCTCATCATGTCTTTCACATGTAAAGCTTCCTGTGGCACACAGGGCTGAGGGATGCTGAGCCTTTTGGCTTTGAGGACATTGCATATGAAAACAAAGCAGTAACATTTTTTTTTGGTTGAATGATCCTCTGAGTTCTTTTCTATATGTGTGACTAAAAAGTGTCGTGCAATCTTATGAAAACGAACCAGGACATGGGAGGAGGCATTCTGGTCCCAACTGAGCTTTTTGGAGGGGTAAACTTTCATTCCTGTGATTGTTGAAAGCAGATAAAGTAGAACAGGTGCGGAGAACCTGACTCCAAATTACTCGTTGTGCAATGGTTTGGCTGCGATCTGAAGGAAGGCGCTGGGAATTACAGCATAAAGGCAGTCAGAAAGCAAAGAGCAATGGATTTTATATTGTAGCCTTTCAATTCCCTTTTCACAAAGTCTTTTGTGTACATTTAGGGAGGGGAGGAGAAGTGGCTGCTGGTCCTGCCCATGGGAGCAGAGAAGGGTGCGAGGGTGACGCAGAACGCTCTGCATCTCTCCTCTACTCAGGAAGGGATTCAAGATGCTCTAAGCCGGAGAAAGATCCACAGTGCACACAGGGGAAAGCTTGATTTCCTAACACAGCGGTGTGTTTTGCTTTTTATTAGCTATCTTGCACTGCAGCAAAACTCATCCCGGTCATAATCGTTCCCAGTGCCAAAGAAAGAAGTAAAATGCAGGAGCAAATAACTGCCTTTGTGGGTTCATGAAGACCCGGGCGTCTTTCACTTCTGAGTTCTGGCATAATAAATCCTGAAGTGCTTTTCTTCTCACAGCAGACGCAGTTAATACAGCTGTTTGCTGGTGTGTCCTTAAGAGCAGACAAATGGCAACTTCTCAGTGGGCAAGCAGCAGAAGCCTGAAAACCCTGTGATTTTCTCCTCATTTGAGAAGCTAAGAAATAAAATGATATATATCTATAGATTTTCTTCTTTTATTCTCTTTCTCTGTTTTCTTCCGGGACAAAATGCAATCAGCATTTCAGAACGTGTCTCTTTAGGTGGAAATGACAGCAGCTCACTCACACCACCTGCCCTGACACCAGAGAGGGGCAAGTGGACAAGATGCTTTTCCTACCCAGCAGCTCTTCTGCAGAGGGAGAAGGGGCCCATGGGGATGCTCAGGTGTTCTGGGCCCTGTAAACTTGATGCTGTATAAATGCAGCCTTCCTCTCCTCATATTCTGCACCCCCCAGGACAATTCTTAGCAGGATACAGTGAGCATAGCAGGTTTCCCTTCTGTTTCTTCCAGTGCAATCATAGCTGCTGACTTTTGCTTGTCTGCAGATCCAGCTGGAAGCCCAAATCTCCTTTTATTTTCTGTATGGGTTCCTAATCTGGAAATGGATCTCATTTGCTTTACTGAATTACAAGCAAATTAAGCTGAACACATTGTGCAATGCCCGGATGTGTTGCAGGGTTTTAGTGAAAGAGAAAAAAGAGTGTTTGTAATTGCTTCAAGTTTCTCCTTTCCTCAATATCAGCAACTTTGTGTTCTCAAAAATATAAAATGTCTCTATTAACAGTGGAGGTTTTGCTTGGGGCCAGGAGCTGGAGCTGCATCTGTCTCACATCTTTCATCCTCTCAGCCATAAAAGAACATCTCTGCCAACATCCTGAGCTCTGTTCCCTTGCAGTTCCTCCCTTCACAGTCAGGCACACTTTGGTTATCTGCAGTATTGCTCTTGATGGTATTATTAAATAGTTCTGATCATTTTCCTGTTGGCAATGGCTTTTTCCTCTCAGATGGATTTTTTTTTTTCCCCTGGTTGTAAATCAGCTTTAGAGCCTCGTATGTTTAAGGAGAGTAAATACCTCAGTGCTCCAAATGAGACAAGTATTTTGCATTTTCATTTCCTGACCCATCAGGGAGAGTTTCATGCAAAATGCAAGAGAAACATCAAAATGATGAAACAGCAGTGTTTATGGTTTGATCTCTGGTTAGCACAGCTGATGTCAGACAAACTATCCAGTGCTCCTCAGACTTTGCAAAAAGTGAGCTCCAAGAGGGCAGACCCTTTATAGGTCATTTCTCAATGGCCAGTTGAGCTTGCTGACAAACACTCATCACCTGAGGTTTTGTATGTTTTTTTAGTTTACTGATTTGATGAGATCTGAAAACCAAGGGATGAATCTTGCCCGAGGAGGACAGGCTGAGAAGAGAAGGCTCTGGGAAGGGCTGGGAGTAACCTGTCAGTACCTACAGGCCGTAAGGAAAGAGGGGACAGACTCTGTAGCAGGGTCTGTAGTGACTGGACAAGGGAAAATAGTTTCAAAGTAAAAGAGGGGAGATTTAGATTGGATATAAGGAAGAAGTTTTTTTCCAATAAGGGTGGTGAGGCACAGGTTGCTCAAAGAGGCAGTGGGTGCCCCATCCCTGCAGACACCCAAGGTCAGGCTGGATGGGCTCTGAGCACTGATGGAGCTGTGGGTATCCCTGCTCAGTGCAGGGAGTTGGACCAGATGGCCTTTCAGGGTCCCTTTTAACTCCAACAATTCTATGCAACATCAAGTTTGGTTTCCTTTCACCACACCACGTTTATTCTGATAGCAAGGAAACCTTTCCTCTTCCCAAAGGTTGTTTAACAGGACTGATTTGCAAGGTTATTTTTTAAGCTGCGAACAATTATAAACTCTGACTGTGATAATTAACAGTCACAAAGCTTATCTTTGGGGAAAGCATAGCATGCAGTCCTATTTTAGTCCTATTATAACGAGGAGGGAGAAAAATAATGTCAACCTGCACCAGTACTCAGAGCAGGAGCCTTGTGGAGTGCCTGCGTAGGGCATGAGCTGCCATGCAGCACGGGAGGTGTGTCATTTTGGCAAACAGAGAATGTTGTGACGCAGAATCAAACTGTCAGCAGCCAATGTGTGAAAGGGTGTTCCTCCCTTCTCACAGGAAGTGATAGTTTTGTAAGCCCAGGGTCAGCCTTCCGAGACGGTCCACCAGGATGCTGGGGAGGATTTTGGGCCGTGGTCCAGTGGCGTGGTGCAGGTGGGGGGCTCACCTACACCCCTGGGACCTCCATGCTGTTCCACCACTGCTGTGCTGTGCCAGAGGTGTCGGGAACAGAGCCAGGGTTGCGCAGGGTGCAGTGCTGCAGACAGCTGCTCCAGGTGGGTGGAAGTTCTTTGGTCGCTGTTTTGTGCTGCAGAATGGGGGGAGAAGGGTTTGTGCAGGGAACAGCTGGGAAATGATCCCCGTTCTGTGCTGTTGCATTGCTGTGTTGGTGCTATGGATGGTTTTGGGGATACGGAGACAATTGAGAGTTCCAAGTAGAGGGAGAAAGGTTTTTTTTCTGTGTATTAAATAGTTCTGCTGCTGTGGTGGCAAACACAAAGTGATGCCTTATGTCCGAGAATCTGTTAGCTAAAAAAGAAAGTGAAAGTTCCTCCTTGCAGCTTGCTGCCAGCTTTCTGTAGGTGGGTGGTGCAATCCCCATTCCCACAGGTACAGTGCTACCACATCCCATCCATCCCCACCCAGAGCACTCTGGAAACCAGCGATGTGCCAGTTCAGAAGGGGACACTGCAATGCCTCAGTGCAGCGACTTCCAGGCAGTGGATTTGTTTGTTGCTCCTTCCAATGATAATGATGTTCCTAACCGTGGTTGCACATCCTTCCAGGCTGGTCTTCCCACCAAGGAGCTGCTTGGTGCCCACTGCAGATGAGGTTTCTGCACCAAATTCCTCGCCCTGGTGAGTACAGACTGTGGGGCTGCCAGTGCTGCCACTGGTCTGCAGCATGGGACTTTACTTTACCCGTATCTCCTTGGGATTGAAACCTGTCCTTTTAGCAATCTGCCCATCTGCTGATCAAATTCAGACTCATTGATATTTCAGATTCACCTCTGGTCTCCCTGGCACTGTTGGAAAAAAAAAAAAAAAAAGTAGGAGAAGAAATAGATTAAATTTACCTGCACTGTAAGGATGCCAAGATTTATACCTGGAATTGTTCAGCCTTTTATCACCCCTGGTGTGCATGAGCAGGTGTGGAACAAAGGCAATCAATGTGATTTCACCATCTCAGTGCAGGCAGGGAGAGATGCTCTGTGCTCTCAGCAGCAGCCAGACGGTATGGGATACTCAGACCATGCATCTTTCTGTCCATCCCTTCCTGCATGGCTTGGTCACCCACAGCATGCTTCTAAATACCAGTCCCACATCACAGGGCACCATCACCTAGCATCTTGTTTGCACCCTGCCTGGGTGTGCAAGCAGTGGTTGCCTATACAGGTGCACAAGGCAAAAGCCAGCATTTGGGCTGGCTTCCCCTATTTCCAAAGGGGACTGTGGCCTCACTGTGGCCTGTCATTGCTCTTGTTTCCATCAAGAGGCGCTGGAGTCCCTTTCTCATTATGCTCACAGTGACAGCATGCTAATGACATCGCTGCAGCACTCTTCTGGGGTGTCATGTATCATCATTAGAGTACAGCAACCTGGTACCCAGCTTGCATGAGAACGACAGCCTCCCACCAGGCTGTACTTTCACAGACCTCATCTCTCCATCAGTCCTTTCTGAAAGAGATGCTGTGGAGGAGTTACTGGTGCTGCTGGCAGTTTGCTGAATTCCCTGTTGGAAAGCAGGAGGCAAGCAGGGTGACAGCATGCTGTGGGGTGGGTGCTTGCAGCCCCACATCTCTTCCCTTCAGAACAGGGAAGACTGGGGAGATTTTTAGTTTAAAACCTACCTGAAATAAAGAAAACTATTTTTAAAAACGAGTAAGTTCTAAATATAACAAAGCATCTCATCCCAGCTGCTGGTTCTTATTGACATTAGAAAGCATGTTTGGCTCTCAAAGAATAGAAAAGTGCTGTTCTAAACTTTAGGACCCCTTCCCCCTTAACTGTATTGGTGTTGGCACAGCTGCGCAGGGACTGGTGGGGTCACCATCCCTGGAGGAGTCCAAGAACCGTGGGGAGGTGGCACTGTGGGATGTGTGGGCATGGTGGGGTGGGATTGGACTGGGTGATCTTAGAAGTCGTTTCAGCCTTGTTGATTCAATGGCTTCTTCTTTTTTTTTTTTTTTTAATTCTTAAGCTTTGCTCACTCTTTTCTTTTGCAAAATCTCTTCAAGCATTCAAAAATGAAAGAAGGCCTACAAATTTTGACAAAAAGGTGTTGGTGTGGGCAGGACGCTTTAAAAAGGAGGAGGACATTCCCAAGTACATAACGTAAGTAGACCTTTTTTTCTTTTGATATTAATTTAATTTTGCTGAGTGGTACTGTTGGAGGTGAGCATACAGATTGAGACCCCAGCCTTCTTAGTCAGAAGGCTGCTCACATGGTTGGTATTTGTGGACTGCCATGCCAATGATGCTTACAGCTTCTGGTGTCCGAAAAGAATCCCAACTGTTGGGAGCATGAACTTCTTGTTTTGCCTCTGATGTAAATTGGGTTCGCTTATTTTTGTTGTCATCCATTTCAGATTCATCAGAAGTGTTTTTTGCAAGGAAGTGGCTCTGTAGTTCAGGAGTCACCATGGTAAAATGTCATCCACATTGGTTTTTTACAGGTTTTGCTAGCTTTTATTAAAGGAACGTTAGTGTTATTCACAGATCTGGTGGAAGACGTCTGCAAAGAGTTCCTGGTTTCTGGTCTGTGGTTTTACCCACAGATGATCTTGCTGGTCGTTTCCAACCTTGCGATTCTACGATTCTAAATGACCCCTTTGTCAAGGTATTTTGTTACAGGGTTGTGTTTCATTTCAGAGTCCCATTGCCCCCTGCCTTGTGGGGTCCTTAGGGGTTGGCCTTTCCTTTGCAGACATAATGGAATCCACAGCTGGATGTGATTTCATGAATGACTCAGGCCTTGCAGTCTCTTGCAAGCTTGAGTGGTCAGATAAATGCTGTGAGTCACTTGTGGAAGGCGATGGAGATTTCTCAGCAGTGGATGTGAGAAGCTGCTTGGGACGATGACTCTGGATGGATGGTGGTCATCTGCTCCTGCTCAGCCTTCCACTTCGTGGTGCACAGACAGGCAGCTGTTGGAAGATTTGGGGATTCGTCACCCAGCTCCTCACAATCTCATTTCCCACATGCTGCTGCAGGATGGGAACTCTGCTCTGTCCTCTGCAGGTCTGAGGTTTTGGATGCAGCAAGGAACACTGTGAGGATAAAAGTTTGCTACATCATGATTGCACTGACCTTGCTGGGTTGCTTGGCCATGGTCATCACAGGCAAAGAAGTGAGTAATGTTTTTTGGGTAACACACTTATCAGGTGCTCTACGTGGGCTTTCTTTTTAAATAAGCACCCAGTTGACAGGCTTTGAGATTAAGTCCATATTAGCAATATTAGCATGGGATCTCTCTTGCCCCATTCTCCAGGGGAGAGGTTGGCAGGGGGAAGCACAATTTGCTTGTTAGAATGTTCCTTCTGGCACACTTCACCATAAACTCATGTGCTCAGTGCCTCCATATCACGGTGTTTCAGCAAGTCCAAAGGTTGTGGAGTAGCTCAGATAGTGTTGGCAGAGCCTGCTTCTGCCCTGTGGCCATGGGTAATGGGTTCCTGTGGTTCTGCCCAGCATGCCACCATGGCCACATGGCTGTGATGCTTCTCTTCTCCTGTGCCACATGTATGGAAGGAGGATCTGCAGCCAAATTGGCACGTTCTTGTTGCAAGTGCACTGTCCTACCTTCTTCCTACCTGCTCATGCACCTGTAAACATCATGAGGTGTAATTTTTCTGCTACTTAGAAGCTTAGAATGGTGAGAAATTGGTAAAATAAAGAAGCACATTCATGTCTTTCATCATGAAATATCAGAGGAGAGTGGGGTGTCAAAGCAAGTGGTGCAAACGAAGGGAACTTTGGTGGTAGGAAATGTATGCATGCAATGTTTTCACCATTTCTTTCCAAAGGCTGCTAAAAAGGATCACACACTGCTGAGGGTGAATGAAGAGAAGAAGGCTAAATGGAGGGCTGAAGCAGAGAAAGATCATGAGGCAGCTGCTGTGAAGGCACAATGATCAGGAACAGGTTTGCTTTAACAGCGGGAGAGAAGTGATTTGCACACATACCATATGTACCTGTCTTCCTTTTACTCCTTGGATCTTTCCGCCTGCAACTCTCTCAGAGTAAAGACTGCTCCATGTGAGCTGTGAAGTTCCGGTGGAAACCCCAGCAGCTTCCTTCTGTGGCCTCTGGTCTTTGGTACTGGGTTCAGCTAAAATAAAGACACCTCCTATGAGCTGGGAAGTGTGAGGGCGATGGGTGGAAGATTGCACAGCTCAGGATCCATTCCTCATGGTGCTGCTGCTGCTCAGCGTGGTCTTTGCAGGCAGGAAGGATGCAACCCTATGTCAGAGAGCATCCCAGGCTGTGCAATTCCTCTAGTGCACACAGGCTTGGCCAAAGGGATCTGGGGCAGAGGGAGAACAGGTCTGAAATATGTCCTCAAACCAAGAAGAGGTCTCTTCCTCTGACTCTGCTGTCATTGCTGTCCCACCCCTCTCCTTAGCCCCTCACAAGGACACATGAGCAGGTGGAGGGTATGAGCAGCCCTGGTGACTGAATCGGGCCAAAAAGCCTTTGGGTCAGAGGAGCTGCTGTGAATGTGGGGTGGCAACATGGGCTCACGGCGTGGTTTGGTGATGGTGGACAGCTGCCCTCCCAGGAGCAGGGATCCTGGTGAGGTGCACTGCCCATCCTGTTGCACTTCGTTGCTTTGCTTTTTCATCTTCTGCTTCCAGTCGTTGGCATGGAAGCTCCCTAGCACTTGCTTAGTTGTGATTTTAGTTAGGATTAATTGCTAATAGATGGTTTGCTAAAACTGAATTCTTTCTAATCACCATAGTTCATTAACTCATAATAAAACAGCTGTCCAATTACATCTAAAACAAACACTTCTCTTCACAGCTTCATTTAAAGTGTCACCAAACTCTGAGATGATGCTTAATGGGAGAGATCCTCGAAATATTGAAAGTTCCATTTTCATAAAGTCATTAAACTTTAAGACAGACCTCAGCTTACCCCTGTGGTCCGAGTCTCCGTGCATCATTCATATCATAGAATCATAATGTTGGAAAAGACCACTAAGTTCATCAGGTTCAACTGTGAAATCATCATCATCAGGCCTGCTAAAACAGGTAAACCCTTAAGACCCATAAGTTGAGCCCACAGAGCTGGATATGCTGCATGGGGTACCAAGGGATGTGGAGCAGCAAAACCTGCCATCTCATCCCAACCACCAAAGGAGGTGGCAAACGCTGTAACCGTCTCAGCCTTTCTGCTACACATAATCACACCAGGGCTTGGCTCTGCTGCTGCAAGGTTTGTTACCTGGACCACGTATACTTGGTTCCAGCAGTCTGGAAGATTCCATGGAGGTGTTTGGGTTTATTGTGCCAAAAATGATGGTCCACTCATCACTGGTGTGTCACTCCATGAAGAAGCTGCTGGCAAGGATGAGCTCTTCCCTAGGGTTTGGGGTCAGTGCTCAGCAGCTGTTGGGCTCTTGGGCTCCTGGATCTGTAGTCTTTCGGTATTTGGTAGTGGAGGTTTCTTCCTTCTGCACACCTGTGGAGGATGAGGAGCTGTGTGAGGGGACGATACATCTGTCACATCTTGGTGTTTGCAGCCCTTGTTTCTAACTCACAGACTCATGCAGTACAAATTGTAAGAAGTGATGTCTGCTCCCTGCAGTATTCCTCACACTGCATCTCAGAAAAGTAAAAATAATGGTCTAGGACAAGTGCAGAGTGAGCAAGTCTCTGATGAGAAGACAGTTCTGCTGGCACAGGTAATCGGTGCTTGTTGGGTGGATGTGACCTGGTTTCCTTGGTTAGTGCACTAACCTGGAAGAATTTCCTCAGAGTTAATGTTCACGTGGGGATAAACTAAAACACTCAGTCCCCTGGATAAGTTCTGAATTATTAAATTGCCTTCTTGGGCCCTTGCTAAGAGGACACATGTAACATTTAAAGGAGCCCATTCTGATGCTCATAAACAAAATCACTTCCACATTCTGGACTTCCCTGACTAAAGCAGAAAAGGAGATGGCTACAACTGTGATCAAAGAACAAACACATTAACAGTGACTTGTTCTGTTCTGCACTTTCCTGTGCCTGGGAGAAAACAAATAAGCAGCCAACCCATTTCAGATATGGGCTATTTTCAAATCCTCTCGAATAACCTTGGTCTCTGTTGTGTAGTGCATAAAGCTGCTGCACTACACGTTGTCAGTAAGAAGAAGGAAAAATCAATTCCTCCTCCCTGATCCATTGACGATGGGCCATCTTGGTTTGATCAGATGACCCAGCTGCTTTTGGGCTCTCACAAAGAGCAGTGAACATTATGTAAGGGATAATCCTTTTCCAGTGCTGGCTACAAGATAATTCATTTTAATATAGCAGTATTCACCCTCCAAAATCAATCAGATGAATCACTGGCTTGTACTCTGCTGGTGTAGCACAGCCTCATCTGGAGCCATTCCCTGTAGTAATGGGAGATGCCAGCAGAGGACATTGTGCTGATGCCTCTCCAGCAGTGGGACTTAGCACTGCTCACTAAAATCAGTATCTGTTTGCAGAGTCCTTTGACTCTCCTTTGGAAAAGCTTCTAATTAACACAGCTTCCAAATCCTCACCACCTTGGGCTAGTGGCGTTTTTTACTTCTCCTCCATCTATATTGCTTCAGAGTCACGCCTGATCCCAGTCATTTAAAAAGGAGGCAGAAGTTGTTGTTAGGAAGAAGTGATTCTTCCCTTTTTCAAAAACATGCCATGTATTTCCCCAGCCTGGCCTTAAGGCAGGGATGGAGCTGGGAGCACTGCTTTGCCACTAGGCTCAGGCATTGGAGGTGAGTCTTTTCAGCTCTCACCTCCTTGTTTATCCCTCTGCATCAGAAGGAAAGAAAGCTTCCCCCCTTGTAGGGCTTTTGCCATTTTAATAAACTCCTACGTAGAAATGGCTAACAATGGGCTGTAGGCTGGTGCCAGAGAGCTTTGTTTCATAGTGATCGCTGGGGAATATTTTGCTTAGTAGCTGGAGTTTACCTAATTCTGCTTCCATTAAAATCAATGTTGTGATTCCTCCTGGCTGTGGATTAGAGATATTATCCACTGCTTTTGGAAATCCATCTGTTTTGCAGAAAATTGCCTTCCCCAGGATAGCTGTGGGGCAGCAATGGATGCACCCGAGCTTTCTTCTGCTGCAGTGATGAGGTCTCTGATGACCTCCCAGTGCATCAGACAGAATGTGAGATGGAAAATTTGAGCTCCAGAGATCCTCGACCCTTCCTTGCTCATTTTGCCTCTCTTTTTGACTCATTCGGGAGTTTATAGTGACACTTGGTTTCCTCCCACCCATCTGCTACGAACTGCTCCTCTCTGGTATGCATTAGATCCCATGCTGTCCTGCACTTGCAGGATCCCTGATTTCCCTAGATGCAAGCAACATCTTGCCATTCAGATCTCATTTTAAAGCCTTTCCTGTTTAAAGTCTTCAGCATTTTTTCTCCCACCAAGCTGGAAACTGCTGCTCATTTAAAGGCAGATTGCACCCACACTCAGCTTCCAGGCTTTGGACGTTGTCTTCACTATGGAGTAGAAAACATGCCATCTCAGCTCTTTCCTGTGTGCAGCCGGTTGTCCCTCCTTTGGAGCTGGATTCCTGCTATTTTCAGAACCCTGTTGTTTCTGACTGTTGCTTGGTCGGTGTCACTGGCTTACTGGCCCATGGGGTGAGGCCCACTGGGTTTGCTCCTGTATCAAGAGATTTGCTAAGGTTAGAATCCTCTTCATAAACAATCAAAGCGAATGTTATTAGCACTGAATCAATAACCTAGTCTAGTACTTTCGTGAGAAGATCTAAGAGCTGTTCAGACTTTTACCAGCTACTCTGGGGAATCCCAGTGCACAGTGGTGTTGCTGCAGAGGCTGTGTTGCTCTGTGCCTGAGGCTCCAATGCCTGCAGGAGCAGCATGACTGCAAGGCTGGGGGAAAGCTTTTGTTCCTTGGATCTGTTCAAAGGAGATTCAAGGTTGAAGGCCTCCTTTTTCCAGCCTCATGCTCCCTTACTGCAGCAAATAAGCTGTGGCTGCTGCTGGCCCAAAGGAGAGCTGTGCAGCTCACACCCATAGTGACTGCAGAGAGAGTTTAAATGCAGCTCTCCTGTTTGAATTTGGCACGAAGTCATTCTAGCCTAGCAGGGAAGCAAGACCAATGCTCAATAATTTGAATTAATTAAAGGATCATTCATTAATGCGCCGAGGTAGCGTTAAAGCAATTTTCCATGGTTAAGTGGTTTGACAGTCATTAGGGCTGTATGATTTATTGCAAAACCAATGTGACTGTCAGATGAGGAGTAGGTAAGTCCTGAAAGGCTCAGCACTCCAAATGGAGCATTGCACCTCTCTGCTCTGCCCAGCCATGCTGGTCCCACACCTGGGCTCTTCACAGAGGCAGCTGCTACACAGAAACCTGGAGCTTGGATCTGATTCTTCCTCTAGAACATTGCATCTCCCCAGTGAGGAGATCCAGGCCTTCTGCTGTTTGGTCATGGGCTGTTATTTGCTGGGTGTGTGAGGGCTCAGGAGGGGAGGAGGGCAAACTGAAACAGGATTTAGCTGAGCTCACTCGTGGCTTATGCATGCTCTGCAATGTGAGCTGTTCATAGCAACTGCCAGGGAGGCTAGACCAGAAAATCAAGGGATCTGCATGCCAGTTTGTAATATGCAGATGAGAGATGGTCAGGAGACTTTTTGTAGATGAAATAGAAACCAAAATAGCCCAATGAATTAGTCATATGCTAATTACAATCATTGGTTGGTGTTTCTGCAGGCTGTATTAATGCACTGCAAATCACACACAGCTCTGTTAGCTGTTTTCTCGTGATCCTGGCATCATCCTGTAACAGATTTCTAACATCAGAGCTAAAGGGCATCCTCTAGGGATGCAAAAGTGCCATTAAAGCAATGCTGCTCCAGTCTCCATAACAGTTTCACACCGTACCAAGGGGCCAAAATCAGGCTTGAAAGGTGGGAAGTTAAACACCCAAGCATTTTCCTTGACAAACCTCAGTGTGAAGTAAAAGCACGACCATTGCCCATTGTGTTCTCCCACTCATTTCCATTTTTCTCCTCCCAGACCTGCTGTGTGGGCTGTGCAGGGGATGCTGTGAGCTGAGGACCCACTGCTGCACACGTGAGCTGGGGAGGCTGCGGGGCTGCACGCCCTGTGCTCTGACACTGCAGAAATGGGCAAAGAGCTGCCTGTGCAGCTGCAGCATTCCATGTGCCACCTCCCACAGCCTCTCCGTAGCTGTCAATATGTACTGACTGAGGAATTTTGATCTCCTTACTGCTTTTGCTGAATGCACTGCGAGGCATTTTGAGCTCATTGCCATTGAAGTCCAGGTGCCTGTGGGCTTCCACCTGGCTGTGGAGCACACAGGTGTCCTGCTGAGATGCTATCTGGGAAGGAAACTGCACAGGGTGAGGAGCAGAGAGCTCCTGGATGTCACCTGGTGTCCTTCAGCCCAGGCCAAGCTCTTAGCTGGCACCTGGGTGCTGTGCAGCAGATGGTGCCATGCTCCAAAGCCTGGCTGTGAGAGCCCAGCTGCTATGTGCAACCCAGGGCAGCATCAGCTCTGCAGCTCACGCATGAGCTGCAGTGCCACGACCCACCTGCCCTGGGGGTGACAGGGCTGGGGACAGGATGCCCAGCTGCAGGGACCCTCCTGCTCTCATGTCCTTATTCTGCTCACCCTGACAGCTGCTGGGGTTCATACAGGCTTCCCACAGCTCATAGGCTGCAATGTTTGTAGGGTGAGACATTGGCCTTTCATTGAGAAGCTCAGGATGTACAGTGACTGCTTTATGGCTGTTCAGCCTTCTCTTCAGGAAGAAGTAGGACACAGAGCTCTGCAAAGCAGCCTGAGCTCTGGTATTTTATTTTGGTTTGATTAGAAATGATAATAATAAAAAGTCCCAGCAAAAGTGTGTCTGAATATGAGCTTGAGTCACCCACCTCCACAGTCACTTTCTGTGCACACAGCAATGCACCAGCCTGGAAAATGATTTGCAATATACCTCAGGTTTGTTTCTTTTTTTTTTTTTTTCCCCTTTTACACATATATTTACATAAAGGAAAATAAAATCTCTGCAGCCAGCCTATCTTTATCTCAAAAGCAGGTTTCCCATGAGACAGAATGAAATAGTGCGGATGTCTCATCTGATGGATGAATGATGAGAATTTCACTTTCAGCCCTGTGGAAAGAAGGTGGAAGTTTTGAGCTGGCAGCTGAGGTGCTGCTTTTCTACCACCTCTGCAAAGTGGAGGATCTAACCCTGCCTGCCTCAATGGCTCCCAGAGGATGCTGATGCTATTTCACTCATTTCAGAGGGAAGGAGGTGAGGGATGTGGATGGCTCGAGGTCTCCCAGCAGCAGTTCCTTATGTCCCACGGTGGTGCTCAGACAACTCCAAACCTGTTGGAGAGAAGTGCATTCAGTTTTACACATTCTGTTTGCCCCACGTGCTGTACTTGTTGTGGCATGTGCTGGACTCAGTAGGCACATGTGTGGGTGCTGCCAGGGCCCTCACATCCCCAACCTTCAGCAAGGAAGGAGCAAGAGCTGCTTTCCCTGCTGTGCCAGATGTAGGGAATGCATCACATGCAACACAGCTGAGTAATGGGGCTGTGCAATTCAGCATGGATGCTGTGAGAGGGGACAAGTGCAAATGTGGGCTGTCATGGGCTGCATCCATTTTTTTTTCTTTTAGAGCAGAGGCCTCCGAAAGGGCTCTGGTTCCAAGCTTGTGGCTGGCTGTGAGCCTCCCTCTGCCTCCCTGCTCCCTGTTAATGTTTCCATCAGCAAGAGAAAGTGGTTGGAACTGTTTTTACAGGGATCGTGACCTGGAAATTAAGGCAGCCTTCTGCATGTGCTCACCCAATCCAAAAGCCTTGGCCAGGTTGGGATGCTCACACAGCCATCGATGCTAGCTCAGTGCTTCCCAGGCAGCAGTCCCCCCTGCTGCTCTGTATGCAGGAGTACTCCTATAAACAGCCATAAAACCATGTACTTAACCAATAAAACGGGCATAGGAGCTCTGATATCCACACACCAGAGCCAAGATAATGGCTCTCTTGGAAACTAGCCCTCTACGTGGGCTGAAAGAATGTGATTTCTAACTGCACAGCCATTAACCCCCATTACCCCCCCTGCTGTCCCTCTGTGCTCTGCATCCTGAACCAGCCCTCAGCCCACCCTTAGAGTACCCAAGTCCCTGCACTGATCCTGCTGAGCGTCTGCAGCTGGGACCCTCTCATGCAAGAACAGAGCAGCAGTGCTCTGCCTGTTGGAAAACCCAGCCCAAATTACCGAGGTGCAGGAAATGCAGCTCTCCTGCTTCTCCCACACCCCTGGGGCACTCAGGTGCTTGCCAGCTCGGTTGTTCGCTTGGCTGGGCACAACGGGAGATGTGTTTGTTGCTTGAGCTTTTCTAGCAATTTTCCTTGAACTGCATGGGATCAGCAAGGAGCTGCAAACTGGGATTTTCAGCCTGGCTTTGAGGGGCGGTCAGGGCTGAACTGCAACCCTCAGGCTCCAGTACCGACACCGATACCCTTCCAGCGACCTTCCATCTCTGGCAGAGGGGAGCGGGGCTCCTCCCATCATTTTAGAATGCAAACCCACCGCTTGACATCTGTAGGAAGTTAACCTCGGTGCAAGAACCACTTTAGCGACTCCTATTTTAATTGCCTGGAGAATAGATGTTAACCTAGCTTGAAACTCGAGGCAGATTTGCATAACAACGGATCTAAAAGCTGCGCTCGCTCCCACAACCCGCACAGGGAAACGTGTTTCTGGTAGGTTTTATGTTTTAAGTGCTTCTAACAATGGAGCAATTCAGTGTTTAAGTACAATTTTCAGGTCCTCCAACAAGAGCCTGCTGTTGGGGAAAACGCCCTCCTGGCATTTCCCCATTTCCAAAATGTTTCTTTCTGAAGTTGTCCTCTGAAGCCCGGACACGTTTTAGAAAAACTTTCTTCTCCCTTTGGCTTATCACCGTGTGACTTTAAGATTTAAGCCATTCCAGAATACTGTTTTAATTCTTTTCTTACTTTCTTGTAGCGGAAAAATCCATTAAGCTCAGATTCAGCCTCACCAACGCGAGCAAAACAGCTTTTATTAACGCCTTAGCTGCGATGGGGGAGAACTCCAGGCTGTCAGCTGTGACTGCAGGAAGGCTCTGGGTGCTGTGCTCAGGATGCATAATAAAAAAGGATGAGGAATTGCACGTCAACATGTCAGAGGAAAGTGAGGACACGAAATACTGTTTACCAACGTTGTGCTTCAGTCAGGATGGGAAAGCTGTCAAATGGGAAGGACAGAACAGAGCTTGAGTTTCTCTCTGGTTGGGCTTTCCTGTCCCTCTTTGACTTCTTTTTTTCCCCTTCTTTCATGCTGGCAGCACTGGGTTGCTCTGGTTGTGTTTGGCAGAGGCTATAGGAGTCCCATGATGACCCCTAGTTCTGTGCCACCTGTGCCTGCTGTGCTGTGACCTTGCTGTGACCGTGCCATGCCATGCACATCCCCTCTGCCACACAGCCACCAGGCAGGGTTGGTGTCAGCTCTGTTCTGCTCAGCTCAAATGTGTGCAGACATTTCCTCTCCTGCTTCATTTTACAGTGCTCTTCGTGATGAATTTCCATTATGTGTTTGGGCAGATGCTGAGCATAGCCCCAGTTTAATCAGGGATGCAGGAAGACAGCATGTTCACACCTTGCAGAAGCCACGATCTCCTGATCTTCTCTGCCAGAAATGCAGCATTTTCATATATTATTTTATAATATATTAAAATATTTTAATTATTTTTAAAGCCATTCTCTGGTTACCATGGTTTCAGGGAAACAGAGGGCTGGCAGTGCTGGGAGATTTCCCTGGCCATGCCATGGAGCTGTTTGGCTGAGGGTTCCTGTGCCAGCGTTGTCACCTGCACTACCTCCAGGACACAGCGAGCAGCATCCTTTGCATGCACCTCAAGGGATTCCTTGGCTGCAGAGTGGTTGCAGAGAGGACACCTGCCCTGCAGATTTGCAATGCACGTGTGCAAGCCAGGCACCTTACACCTTCAGAAAAATGTAGTGATGTGTTTGCAAAAAGCCCTGCTGGTCTGCACCCCTGGTATTAGAAATGCTGTCACCTCCGGGGCAATCTGAGAGGATTGCAGCTCTCAGGTGCCTTTCAGAAGGACTCTGACAGCTTAAGAAATGCCCTCGGAACAGTTCCTGCTTTCCGTGCTGGCCAGTATCATGCTGCTTAATCACTTTTAAAGTTCAGAGAATCCATAATCTGGCTGGAAAATGTGGAGAAAGCAAAATTTGCTGGAAGAGAGGGCAGAGAGTGAGCTCTGAGGGTAGGACTGCTGCCTTTTAAATAGGCATTTGTTAGTGCAAAGTGGAGTTTGTGTAGGAGCTGTAAGTATATACATGTTTCCTTGGCCTTGCTTTCCTTTTGAATGAAGATGATTCATTTGATTTTTTCACTGCTTTTTCCTTCCACAATCATTTTTGAGATCAGGGATGGTGCCTTATGGAAGCAACATGGGGCAGTGAAGGCAGAGGATCTGAGGAGAACAGGAGGACCTTGCTCCTCCTCCTCAGCCACCCACTCTTTCCAATGCCAATAGCACCATATTGCAAGGGAGAAAACCCATCCCACAGCTGGCACAATTCTGTGAATGCATAAGTGACATGAACCAGGGCTAGTTATGATGAACAGCAGAAATAAAAAGGAAGAATTTGATCCTTTGCACTTTCCTCGCTGAGTTAATGGCAACACTTCAAACCTAGCACCATTAAAGCATTCAGGAAAATAGCAGCTCATATAAATGCAGGGCAATTCCTGCTTCTGTGTGGACCAGAGCCACCAAAATGATTCTTCCCATGGCACCGGCTCCTCCATCACCATCAGAGTGAGTCTAAGAGGTAAAAATAGAGAGGAAGGAAGAAATGTATCCACCTCCATTTCTTTTTTTCTTTTTTTTTTTTTTTCCTAACCAAATTGAATAACCTCCACCAGGGAGCTCCTTCCACTTCTAAATGGTTGAATGAAGGTCCAATTTATTTCCTGTCACACTCTCCCATGCTCCGATGTGATGCGATCTGCCCTGTGAGCACTGAGTGGGTTCTCCTTGAGCCATCTGCATCCCCTGCGCACACTGCCAGCTCCTTTTTATCATTTTGATTGGTTGGTTTGGTTTTGGAAATAAATCCTATGTTTCCATAATCTCCTGGGGTCATCACCTGTTCCAGTCAAGGAAATGCAGTATGAACTGTTACTGTAGATCCTTTTCTCAGACATCCATTGCAGTTCTGTCGCTGGTGCAAGGACACTGTCTTGTTCTTGTCGCAGGTGTATGGACAGGAAGGCAAGGAGAGGGTGAGGAAAGGGGTGGAGGGAGTTCACTCATTTGATGTGAGCAGATGAGACTAAGCCAGGAAGGGAAGAGCAAAATGTGGAAAGCAGCCTCATGCTGGGCTCCAGGGCCACTGAAGCTGCTGCAAACCAATGGAGCAGTGCAGAGTGCAGTGCAGAGAGACAGTGCTGGGTGCAGCAGCAGCTTAAGTTAGATGTTAGGGAGATATTCTTCACTCAGACGGTGGTGAGACCTTGGCAGAGGGTGCCAAGAGATCAGTGGGTGCCCCATTTCTGGAGGTGCCCAAGAGCAGGTTGAATGGGGCAGCCTGAGCTGGGGGGGAGCAGCCAGCCCACAGCATGGGTTGGAGGTTGATGAGCTTCGAGGTTCCTTCCAACCTCAACCTTTGTGTGCTTCTGTGATCCTTGTCCCTCCCCAGCTGTGCTATGGGTGTGCCATGTGTTCCCCACACAGATTGGCAGGGGAGGACATCTGAGCTGTGCTTTCACGTGTGCTATCACTCATGAAGTTGATGGACCTACGCTTGTTCTTGCAAAGAGAAACAAACAAAACGATCATTGCCATAGCTGTGAAAGAGCTCTCATGGAGTTATGACAAACACACTTATACTGTCCTCACTAATGATCTGCCCTGGAGAAAGAAATCCATTATGCATGAAGGCTGGGAAGACAAAGGGAGCATTGGTGTGTGGAACTGATTAGCTCAGGCTTTAATGTGCAATTGGGCTGGGGTTCTGCTGGCCTGGGACAAAGCACTGCACCACAGGCTATGGGTTGCACAGGGCTCCCTGTGCCCCGTGGTGTTCGTGGCTCATAGGTGTGCATGGGGAGGGGTCTTGTGCTCACTGCTGTGAGTGTGCAATTGGGGAATGGCATCTGTGCAAAGAGAGACCAGAGCCTGCTGTAACGCATGGCAAGAGCAAGAGGATGCGTCTGAATGTTTCCAGCTTTGCATGGAATCATAGAATTGGAGTTGGAAGGGACCTTTAAGGCCAACAGGTCCAACTCCCTGCACTGAGCAGGGACACCCACAGCTCCATCAGCGCTCAGAGCCCATCCAGCCTGAAATTGGGTGTCTCCAAGGATGGAGCACCCCCACCTCTCCGGGAACCTGTGCCAGTGCTTTACTAACTGTGAAAAAACTATTCCCTTATATCCAGTCTATCCAAAATTTTGGACGCATTGCTCTCCAAAAAGCTCTATGGAAACTGAGGAGCACATGTGGGTAAAAACAGCATCATCCTCCAGCACTGCACATGGCCGCAGTGCTGAGAGCTGCACAGCATGCATAAAATTAGCAACATTGTGTTTTTGTTTCCTCCTTTGATTAGGAAAGCTCGTTGCAAGTGGTGTGTTTAAACAGATATTATGCAGGATAGCGATAACCAGTTTTAAGTCATTATACAAGCAGTTTAATTTGATGTTGCTCTATAAATAATCTAAGTCTATTTGCATGCATATTCTGTTGACAGGAAGATAAAAACCATAATTCCTACAAACAACATAACGATGTTATGTCAGTAGCAAAAAAAAAAAAAAAAAAGAAGAAAAGAAGAAAAATCCAGCACTCAATGGTTCAGTCTTTACAGAACTTCATCAAATGCAGTAAAATTAAAAAAAGAGTATCCTTCCAGCTGCAATCTCCATGGAAATAGAGAGAAGGCTCAAATACAGTAGAGGAGGTATGTATTCTGTCTGATTTCTGTGTTTCTTGGAACAGCTCGTTGCATTGTTACAGCAAGCACTGTGCTTTCATGAGCGAGTTTTGCAAACAAAATAAACTTTGTATTTCTTTGACGATGCTTTGCTAGGATTACAAAGGAAGAAAACAAAACAAAAAACCCAGCTTTGTAGTTTGGCCAAGAGAACATCTTAGAATAGGTTTCTCTTTGCTGTGAGTCCAAATGCAAATCTGAACTCGGTGATGTGTCTTGTGGAGGAGTGAGCTGCCCCAGCACTGCTGCTGATAGGAAGCTCTGCCTCCAGAGCAGGATGGAAAAGGGCAAAGCCTGTCTTGCTGCTGCAGGAGGGAGTGAAGCCCATGGGGATGGGCACGACAGCTTCATTTGTACAGATGGCAAGGAAAAGTCTTTTTGTAGAAGTTTCCTGATGCGTGACTTGAAGCTGCTACATCATGCTGCCTCTGAACAGTTCATCCTTATTTCTGCTGTCCAGCCAGCAAAGCTTAGCAGATTTAAATTTGCACCAAATTGGATAAAATCAAGATGTACTGTAAGTTTCTTAAGTGTTAAGAGCTGACAAATGTGCAGATCTTTGATACTGTGCAAGAGGCATCCGGACCCAGAGATTCAAGCTTTCTGGACTGTAGAGTGCAAACCAATGCATCCATTTATTTCCATGCCAAATAAAAAAAATCACCTTTCCTCACTTTCTGTCACGGTGTTTTGTGACATTGGTTGATCTGGAGGTTTATTCATCCCTGTTTGCAGGATGAGCAGGGGGCACCTTCAGATCTCTCCCTTTGCACAGAAGGTGAATTCTTTGAGCTCATGCTGTTTGCTGCCTTGCAGTGAAGTTTTCTGGCCATCTTCCCTCACTGAAGTCTCCTGCTCAGTGGTGAGCACAGGAGCTTCACTCAGCACAGGGCATCCTGCTAATGAGGTCTAGGTTGATTCTCTTGCTAACTACATTAGGGAGAAAGTCTGTCCAGGTCTGGAAGGAAGCATAGAGGCAGGCTTAGCTGCACCCAGTCATGCTCACCTCAAGACCACTTCAGTTGGCCAACCCTATGGTACAAGACAACCAATGCATCCTGCAGAGCTGTCTGGCAGGTCCCAAAATCTTCGCTACGAAGACGTAACGATGGTGAAACAGAGATGGTGTCAGCAAACGGTGGTGAAACAGAGATGGAGTCAGCAAACCCTTTCACTAACTTCTATATTTCATTTTTTAAGAGTTAAATGTTGTTTGAAAAGAAAGTTCACCTTTTTACTGCTTTTACTCGCTGGGTTTCTTCAGAATGAGGCGCTGACGGATAGGAAGGGACTCTGCCTTTAGTGCTGGTCCATTAGGTCTGCTGTTTGTTCACTATTTATTAACCTCTCACTGCTTAAGACTTTGCTTTAATTTAACAAACAATTTCATCTGTCTGAAAGAGAAAAAAAAAAAGAAAGAAAGAAAAAAAAAAGATCATTTATTTTCCAAAGACCCATTTGCCAAGTCAGGGATGTATTGCCATTCTTTTGAGGCACAGCACTGGTGAAGAAAGTCATTGTGCTCTCTGGAGAATACACTTCATTCATTTCACAGTGGGTGGTTCTTGATTTTTCAAGTTGAGTTTCTTAATAAAAGATGCCTGTTGCTGGAAATAATAAGCTGGAGAATACTTCCATGCTGTAATTTAGCAAATAATCTTAGCACAGTAGTTAATAACCCAACCATTTTTGAGGCTGCACTTTTGAGATTCTGCATTTCAGTTTTGAGGTTACGAGAGAGAGCAATCTCTCATCAGTTCATAAAAGGCAAAGCTAAAAGAGGTGTTCTTGACTTGGAGCAGGTTGCCCAGTGAGATTGTGGGTTCCACTCAAGGCCAGGAAGCACTCAAGGCCAGGCTGAATGAATGGGGCTGTGAGCAACCTGGGCTACTGGGAGGTGTCCCTGCCACAGTAGGGGTTGGAACTACATGATCCTAAAGGTCCCTTCCAACCCAAACCATTCTATGATACTATGACTTGGCCAAAGCATCTTTTTGTTGCCAACCTTTAAGTGTTTCCAGTGTCGTATTACTTCTTCTTGCTTTTTGTTGTCACTGAAAATATGAATAAAGCAATGTAGAATATGTTGCTAATAAGGAAGGGAAAAAAAAGGAATTAAGAATGGGCAGCACAGGATTCCAGGCCAGCTCCAAAAGTAAAGTTGAGAAGTGAAAAAAAAAACAAAGTCAGTAGAAACAGCTGGAGGTGAATTTTCAGCTTGTTCATAGCTTTTGCAAGGAATGAGCTTAGAAAGGTGAACTTACCTAGAGTTAATGCAGGTGAGAGCTTGTGTCCCAGTCAATTTATTGCTAGTCTTCCATAGGAAAAAATCCATATGCCTATTGTTTGGTAGCCAGCACCTCTGTTTGTGTTGAGCTCAGGCTTGTAGTGAGATGTTTGTGCTACCTTTATTAAAGTAGATTTTCCAAAGAGAGGCACACACGTAGCTGACAGCTGGTCTGGGTAGGATTTATGTCTTCTTGGATCTAGGACATTCTCTCAGATTGGTAAACAACGACACTTTCCCTGTGCTTCACTGAACACATCTGGATGTGGAGTTATTAAGCAAATGTCCTTTGATTCACAGTAGGGAATGGTAAGGAGCTCTCTGTGGATTTACTGAATGGCATGCTATGTAAGAAGGCTAATAATTTATCAACATACAGTATGCATTTACTGAGCATCTTCAACTAAATTAGTCCCAGATCTGAAATAAAATATGAAGAGCAAACAGATGAGAATGAAAGCTATTTTAGTATGAGGCTCCTGGTCCCAGTGGCACAAATATGGGAGGTGGGAAGAACCATTCATGGCTGCTCCCATCCACCCAGGGGTGCTTCACTGACCCAGAGAGACCAAGAGGTGCCTAATTGACTCTGCTTTTTTAGCAGATGGCTGATTGGTGGGTTATTCGTGAATGCCATTCTCATGGTTGGATGGATCCCCACTGAAATCTGTCTGATGGGTATGGCTGGAAGCAGTGCTGAGCTTTGGTCTATTTGCAGAGGGGCTGTGGTAGGTAGAGTAGAAAAGCATGTGGCTCCTGGTGATGGCTGGGTGGACACACTGGGGGGTGGGTTCTCAACCTTTGCCATGGCAGGATCTCATTTTTTTTCTTATTGTTTTTGTTTGTTTTTCTACCTTCAGCATGAAGGCACTTGAAAGGGTTGCTGTGAAATCCTGCAGTTCTCATGAATTGCATTAAGCCAGGAAAGACTAAGGAGCCTTTCCAAAGGAAGCAGAAATGCATATGTATACCCATATTTGGGCCTCCAGCAAGCTGGGCTGTGCAGAGTTGTCTTCCCCAGTAGCAGCAAAAGGCTCTATCAGAACTGCACTGGTTTCTTTGCCATGCTGGACTTGGTGACATTGCCAACTGATTTCTACAATTCATATAATTCATTTATATGAGTCAAGAGGTTCATATAAATAATATATGAATAGTATATCAGGAGATACATGAATAAGCAAATATTCTCATATAAATTAAGCAAAATCTGGGGAAGTGAAGAGATGTAGAGCATCCCCACAAAAGCACTGGATGGGAAGGATTTATCCCACCCTGAAAATGACAGTGAGATGCAGGGATGTTGCCTCTGTTCAGCGCTGCTCATCTGAACACCTGAAACCACATTCCCAGGAGTGAATGAATGGCTTTTATGTGCTTTACCTCTTCCCAGAATCTTCTGATGTTTCTCATAGTTGTTCCAGATGGTAACTTCCTCAAAACCACAAATTATCAGCGCAAATTAAGATGGCTTAAGCTCTGAATGTCAAATGTAGCTCTTATTTTTTGGCTGAAAGGTAGATTTCACATCAGAGGAAATTGTCTGGCACCCAGACAGACAAGTGTCTTTTCTGCAAAAGGACTAGATCCAGTGAAATAATATTCATCTCCTTCAGTTGTCATGCAGCTGGGTTAAGCCTTGCCTCATTATGTTGCCATTAGCTGCATTAATATCTTCTGACAAAAGTACATTAAAACTGCAGATTGATCTTGGGGCACTGTGGAGTCCATGCTGGCTTTCTGGAGTGCCTGGAAATGTTTTGTGTTTTGAAGTGAAAGAAGATAAAAAGCAGGAGAGTCTATTAGAGAGATATCCTGTGTGGTGCTGTGTCATTTGGAGCATCGCATTTTCAGAGGGGTTTGACATGGAGCACGGTGTGATAGAAGGAGTCCAGAACCCAAACAAGTCAGGACCCAGAAATAATACACCTGAAAAATTTAGGTGACCACTGATTTTTAATGAAAGCCCTTTGATTTGTAAAAAGTCCAATGTCCAGAAGCAAGGAATGTGGGTATTGATAATTCCAGCAGTTATCTGTTCTGCTGCATCCATCTGAAAATAAGACTGAAAATCTTTCTGTGACAACAACCGTGTGTAATAGCAATGTTCCCATACCATAGGTATTTATATTGGGATGTCATAACTGTCTGCATTTCAGCAAACAAACCATCAGCTTTTCCCAGGACAGGGCAATCTAGGTGCTGCATGTGGGGAAGCTCATCCTGCAGACAGCTCAGCTCTGCCCATAGTTATGGAGATAACTCAAAAAAGCTGAAGTCACACACAAGAAAGAAAAAAAGCTGTACATATTATTTTTAAATGTGTTGATTTGAAGGGCTGGAAAAAAAATATTCTCTTGTTCACATTTTTATACACTTTTCAGATAGAGATTAAACTGATTGCCACCGTGGGGGGATTTTGGACAGGCTCCTTGATTTCTTGACACTGAGATGCTTTGTTCTCGGCTCTGCGGCACAGCTCTGTACAAACAGCAGCGACTGAACTTTAAGAGTACTTACGAGTGGATTTTAGCTCTCTTGACTTAGCCAAGGGAAGCCAGCAAGAACTCAGCCTGCATTTTAATGACTGCAGCTTGAAAAGAGTGCAGCGGTGTTCAGGAAGTCTCATAGGAGCTGCCTGGTGAATGATAGGGCACCGTGGGGAGACTGTGACTTCTTGCTCACCATCACACCCAGAGCAGCTCCCCCAGCTTGTGCTGTGGACACCAGGTGTACCCTCTCTTCCTCTCTGCTTTCACCCATAATCTGGAATGCGCTTTGTTAGGAGATGTAATTGAATGGGTTGGATATTAGGAATGTTTTCTACTCTGGAAGAGGTGAGGCACCAGCACAGGCTGTCCAGGGAGTGGTGGGGTCACCATCCCTAGAGGTGCTCCACATCCATAGGGATGTGGCACTGAGGGACGAGGCTATGGGCATGGTGGGTTGGAATTGGACTTGTGGATCTTAGAGATCTTTTCAGCCTTCACGATTCTAGAGACCCAGCCTCTCCTCTCTGTGGCAGTAACCTTTAAATTGTGAGTTCTCATTGCAAAAGCTCCTCAGTTGGGTGGAATTTCGCCCTGTGCTCTGCACCAACTCAAAGCACTAGCTGAATTTCTTCCTATTCCTGCTGTGAATGTTAGGTCAGGTGCCTTTTAGCATGCTGTTTACCTCGTCCCTGGGTGCTTCATTCACTCCCATGAAAAATAAGTAAATCACTTCCACTCATAACAAAAAAAAAAATCTTTGCTCTTTTTATCTCTTTAAAATGTACCTGACTGGCTGAGATTATGCCTGGAATATTTTTCACCTCTCTTTCTCCTGTCGAGCAAAATCAAAGCTCCTGAGCTCCACAAGGCTGCTGCTGATCTAAGTACAATCTCTGCTAATCACTGCAGCCTGCAGGTGATTGACTTCAGGCACTTCCAGAGGACATGGTCAAAGCTGACCGCAGGGCACGGGGCTTGTGGAGATGAGCTCCAGCTGGGTTTGGCCCTCCAGCTCAGAGAGATCAGCTGGAAAATACAAGCTGTAGCCAATGGACTCAGGGAAGAGCTGGAAGGACTCAATAGAAGTGAGTGTGAGGCATAGAGAAAAAGGATGCTTGATGCTGCTGGGTAGGAGCTGAGGCAAGTAGGAGGGAACTGGAGGATACAAAGGTAAGTGAAAAACAGAGACCTGGTTCCTCTTTCATAACAGTGGTGTCTGTTCTCATAGTAGTGCAGATGCTGGGTGAAGAGGGTTGGGTGGCAGGGATGCTGCCTGGCTGGTGCTGCAGGGCAGGTTCCTTCAAAGGAGAATTAGCTCCTATCAGAACTGAGTGTCAGCTTAATTATTCTAGTTACACTGGGATAATTTCAATTAGCTTTTCACATCTGATGGTATCTCCCCTGTTTTGCTCAGGCAGACGTTTGCCCTCATTTTTTGCTCTTACCCAGGAGTTGGACACGATTAAAAGTCTCACCTATTTTCCAGGTGCTCTGTGTTTCTGCTCGGTCTCGTTGATAATCAGAATGTTCAGGGTATTGAAACAACTTATTGGGAGCAGCTTCTTTTCGATTAAATCTCACCTACGGTGCAGAGGTTGGGCTCATTTCTTTGCCTCTCTTACTGCATCAGAATCAGACCCCAGTGTGTGCGTCCTCATGGATGATTGCAAACATTTCTATAATGTGTCCCTCACCCCCAAGGTAGTCGCTTAGCAACTGCTTCCCTGTCATGTCACACGTGTGATGGAGCTAACATGCAGTCAGTCTTTCTCATTTGCTACAGAAAAAATGGTACTCTGAGGAAGAAGAGGGTTAAACAGAGAAAATGTGAGCTTTGATGGATGTGACTCATTACCCTGGGGAATGGTGCATTTAAAAGCATCACCCCAAAATGTTTGCTGGAGTTCATGGATGTGCTGCGCAGGTGATGGGAGAAGCAACCTGCCCTTGGATAGGTCACCATCCCAGAGGTGCCCCGCTGCCCTTCACTGTGCAGGGATGGCTCACTATCTATGATAGCATAGATAGCTCACTATCTATGCCTCTGTTTGTCCTATGGATACTAAGGTTCAAAGAAAAAAATATAGATTAGATTTTCCTGCCCAGACCGTCTACTTCTTTGAGGGGTCTGCATGGTGTTACACAGATGGCTTATGGCCTTGCTGGCCCACAGAAAAATACTGTATAGCAGCATCTGCTTTGATCTCTCAGCACAGAAGGGGCTCTGCCTGTGTCAGGCTGCAGACCTCTGCTTGCTCACAGCTATTTATCTAGTGTTTTTAGCTTAACCGATCTCCCAAGTGGTTGGAAATGTCAGAGAGATGAGATAGTGTGATCTGAAGGACTGTCTCTGTTCAATATCAAAGTGAACTTGTGGTTGTCTTGTAATAATTAAAACTAGTTCTGCTAATCAATATGTCTCAGTTTAGCTAACTCTTGCTCAAGTTCAGACTTTCTTTTTAATTAAACTTGCTTCAGTGACCTTTTATTCCTTTGCTTGCATCAGCAGCGCCATCCGTTTGCATATATTAATGCAATAGGAGGGATGCAAATAAGCCAGCTGCATGGGGAAATCTTGATTAAGCAATTTTACAGGGAGGAGGATGATTTGTCAGGAAGGCTCTTCATGCATTTTCAAGAGAAAGATGGACTCAACTGGGAGAAATGAGTCCAGCTCCTTCGCTGGATCTGGGGAGGTGCTGGCACTGAGTGTCCCTACTCATGGTGCAGTAGAATACTGCAAGTTTCCTCTGCTCATCTTCTGAGGGGTCTTGCTTTGCGTGCTTTGCAGCTAGATGCTTCTTCATTATGGTTTCAGCAGGGATCCCCAGTTATTTTAAGTCTTGTAATGGCTATGGATAACTTAATATCTGGTATGGTTAAGTCCATGCATCTTCATCCCCAAAGGTATGGAGCGCTTTTAGTTCCATCCGGAGGGTGATCTATCAGGCCACCTGTTTGAGTCACCTTTTCTTTTTCTACCCCTTCTGGGAACTGCCCAGGTTTGCAGACTGGAAATTCATCATTTGTTAACTCTCTGTCTTGTGTGAAAGTGGATCAATCAGGACATGCTTTGCTATGTGTATTATATGTATCACATGTTAAATGCTTCCATGGTAAGAGTAATATAGAGGATGTTTTCTCTGGCTCTGGGTTGCAGACTCTGTAGGTGCTTCCCACACTGAGAGCTCTGGGTATGGCAGAGATATCCATTCAGTTATTTCATCTCCCCTGTAAACACAGGCTAATCTTTCTTAGATTCACAGCGGTAGTATTTTTAAAGGAAATAAGTCAAATTCATGGCAGACAACACAAAAATCCCAGTCCTGCATTATGATCCACTAGCAGACATGGGAGTTCAGAGAGCTTTGATAAGGCAGTGGGGCTTTATGCAGGGCTCAGCCCACTGCTGGATCACTGTCCTGATCTGGTAGGTAAGTTCATCACCTTGTGATTCATGGGGAAAATAGCTGAAGTTCTAAACAGGTAGGTGGACAGCTTTGCAGTTGTTCAAAATTACTGTTACATAGATGGCACATGGAACATGCTCTATACATCCCCTGCCAATCTGCTCATCAGTTCCTGGGTATTAAAGGTCGCTGGGTATTCTGCAAAATTTATCAAAATCTTGCTTTGTGATGCCTTTCTGTCAGTCTGCTCCTCTATCATTGCAAACCCTCCTTGAGAGAGGCTGCCCAGGAGCTGGTTTAAAATTCCTCTTCACCATCTGTCTCCTTGTAGCATGGGGAAGTGGGAGCAGAGCAGTGTGACAGACTCTGTGCTGAGATGGCAGGGGCTGGCAGGGGCTGGCAGGTGGTGGGGCTCTATTTGGTGGGCACAGCCAGGTTCTCCAAAGCTATTTTTTGTCCCATGCTGCAACCAAAAGAGTGAGACGCTTTTCTTTTTGAGAGTAGGAGGAAAGGCTGACTCAATCCAGAATGGCCCAAAAGAAAGTGAGGCTTGTACCCAAAATGAGCATCCCCCTAGGGAGGGCAGAACTCCTCATACCACAACCAAATGCTTTTGAGTTCTCAGAGCTCCTGCAATCTGCTGTGACAGCAAACAAAGGTGTGGGTGCCAGGGTGCAGGCGCTGCTGAGGTCACCTCGTGTATCAGGGACTGCAGCAGTGCTAAGGCTGTGCCCATCTGGGGCTGGCTGTGACAAGGTCACCCTCTTGCTTGATGCAGAGCTGCATCGTGCTTTTAATGCAACAAAATATGAAATTCAGGGCTGTTCCCTTCTGCTTTCAGCTCACTGGGGGGGAAAAAAGGCCCAAAGGGTGGAAGCCACGTGGAGCAAAGGCAAACAAAACGTTGGCATGAAATGCTAAGGTGATTTTTCCAAGTGTTGAGGGCAGCAGCTCCTATACCCCAAGATAACAGTGCCCTGAATTGCGCTGACAGCCACAGCGTGGGCACAGCTGAACGCTGTGCTGAGTTGGCTTGGTGGAAAGCTAAAGCAAGGAGAGATGGAGGCAGAAAGGAGCTGAGCCATGCTCCCCAGTGCTGTGGGTTCAGGCATCTCACTGCTCTGCTGCTCTCATAGGTATTAGCACACACAAGCTGGTGTTTGGGGGAGGAGGAAATGAGCTTTCAATTCAGATTCCTCTGTAACGGACAGTAGGGTAAAGAGAAATGTAATTCATTAGGGCAATATCTTTATCTCCTATGTCTGCCCAATTTCTGCTCGTTTAGTGGTGCAGCAGCAGATACGGAGTGCCCTTGCACAGATCAGAGCAAATCACTGCTGAAGGGAGCAGACTGGGGACAGCAATCACTTGGCTGTGTGGAGGAGGGGATGGAACACAACACTTGCTCCACAGCATGTAGAAAGACAGGCAAAGGCCCTGTGGAACCAACTGGGTGCTAACTGCAGAAAGGCAGTAATTGCTGGGATCATTTGCATGTAATGTCCTCCTTTCTACGAATGTCAGCTGGGGTTGGCAAAGCCACCAATTAAATTTAACAAAATCATACATTTCTTACCTGGTTTTTCTTTTATTCTCTACCACCTCTTTCTGATGTTAAAATTAAAGCAGAGTAGCATCATTCTTGTTGAATAGGAAAGCTGTAATTAACTAGTCCATCATGATTTCTTTTATTCCTGAGATCATTGTAGGTGAAGCCAAGTTGCATCTAAACTCCTATGATATGCTGCTACTGAACGTATAGATGCTTTTTGAACAACTTGCTCTGAGTGCTGATTTGCCTGAATGTTCCTGCAGCCAGAGAACTTCTGAAAGCAGGGAGCTTCTATGCACGTGTATGTGAATACACATATTGCTCTCATCATGCAGCTTGACATTTAATCACGGGGTTTTTTGTTCTGTGGGTCCTGACTTCTTCTTTTCACTGTGGAATCGCCACCAGAAGTTTGTTGGGTGCAATGTAATCTCTCCTAACTGTAGTCCCTTGTGTTACTACAGAGGTAAATGCCCGATAATGAGAAGAGATTCTTTGTGCTTCTGTCCAGCAAAGGCCATTTGGATTGATTCAATCATGCAAAACAAATTACAAAGAAAAAGAATCAACTCTCCAAAGCCCCTCTGCTCCCCTGAGAAGTGAGAGCACTTGCTGACTTTGTGGTTAACTTCAAATGACAGTAGATTTGTTGTCTTCCTTTTAAACCATGCAGCTCTCATGTATGCAACTTTCAGCTGCTTGGATTTGAAACAACCCAAACAAAAAGAACTCCCAAGAGAATCAGTTTCTTTCTTTGGCTCAGAGCTGTGTTTTACTGAACTGATCCACGAATTCTGCAAAAAGGAAAGCCCAAAGCCTGATAACAGGAGGGAGGAAATTGCTATTTGACCCTCTGCTTGCAGTCTGTTCAGTCCCAGTGTCTTGCTATCTGATGGGAACTGTTAAAAACCAACAACAAAACACAACCCCAGGTCTTTGCAGCCCTGGCTGAAGCTTTGAGGTTGCACTGTCTTAGCATTTGGCAACTGTGCTCAGAATACTTAAAGCTGCAGCTAATTTGTAAAACCTTTACAAGATGATTCTTAATCACAGCCATCGTGGAGTTTCATCTGCCAGAAAACCCTTCCGTGCTGGGAGGTGAAATGCAGAGCTGCTTCATGGGTGCAGTCAGGGCTGCCCTTAGAAGGTCAGGGAGTGCCCCAGGGCAGTGTTATGTCCCCTATAGGAATGCAGTGCTCTGTGGGATG